GAAGGAGAAGGAGAAGGAGAAGGAGAAGGAGAAGGAGAAGGAGAAGGAGAAGGAGAAACTTCTATTGTATTTAAAACCAGTGGTATCCGTGAGGGAGCAGGAGGTCCTAGTTCAGTAGTCAAAAAATAGCACTGAGTGAGGAGGGCAGTACTTTCACTTATATTTATATTTGGTGTAACGAGAGAGAGAGAGAGAGAGAGGGAAGAACTTCTATTAATGCTACATTGCTTATTGAAATCCTGAAATCCTCTGGGGGAGATGGGTGGGATATAAATTGCATGAATGAATGAATGAATGAATGAATGAATGAATGAATGAATGAATGAATGAAATCTGAATGGGATTCTCATCCTTCTGTACAGGCATGTTGTAAGAGGTATTCTCAGCATGGAAAGTATCATCTTGTTCAACATAGTAGTAAAATTTAGGAGTCAATGAGGGAGGAGAAGGAGAAGAAGAAGGAGAACAAAGGAGAAGGAGTAGGAGAAGATTGTTCAGGAACATGAACACAATTGAAATTAATATTCATTTCTTAGATTTATATGTCACATTTCATTCCGGCAGCAGTACTTTCTCTTACATTTGTATTTTGTGTACCTCAAAGTTAAAAAAAAAAAAAGATAAACAGTAGCAAACAGGATTCTCACCCATCCATACAGCAATACGAAAACTGATATTCTCAACATGTAATAGTGAAAGATTAGGAATCCATGAGGGAAGAGAAAAAAGAAGACCATAATTGTTCAGCATCATAGATTGAAACTAATATTTATTCCTTAGATGTATATGTCACATTTCATTCATGAGCTAAGGCAGCATACATCGTGTGCCAGGCAACATATGTAGTGGACCCTCCTATTATTTCCCACCACAACAATCCTGTGAGGTAGGTTGAGCTGAGAGAAAGCAACTGACCATAAGTCACCCAGTGACAGAGAGTGGTCCTAGTTTGACATCTTAACTATCCTACTACATTGGAACAATATCAATTTCCAAGTTTTATTCCCCTGTGAAAAAGATTTCTGTTTGTTTACTTCATCCTCAGGGTGCTTTAGAACTTTTCAGTGTTTTGAGAAACCGAACATTGGAAGTTCCACAGAATTTTTCTCTAAGCATTTATATTTTCCATTAAACTGAATGAAAATTATTTTACAAAGTCAAAGACATTTACAGAGTGGCTCTAATTGAAGCTCCAGATTCAAGCACTCAAAGCTCTTCAGGTGGATACACCGTTCATTTTTGTTTCTTCCCTTCAGTTCATATATTCATTAAAAGAAAATAAATCACCTATTCTTTCTATTCCCTGAAAGAAGAAACATACAAACATTGGAAAGTGTTTGTAAAAAAATGAACTGAATGAAATTCTCAGCCATCCCTATTTTGGAATAAGAATATATATATATTAAGCTCATTCTGCTTATTAAAGGTAACAAGTTGTTTAGCTTCTAGAAATAGTCTACAGAAAGATATCAAAATGTTCTGTGCATTCACTCATTCATACTGAGTGGTGATTTAATAAGTGAGTATAGAGCCATAGATACAATTAATTTATTGATTTTTATTGACAATGATGATACTTCTATTTCCCTCCCCTGCCCTTAGCTCCAGAATGCTTTCCAGAAGGACATCGTATTCTCCATAATGCCTATCGCAGCATCCATTTTGATTCTCTGGAATTGCAGGAGAAAGCCATTCAGGACATGGTTTGTGATCATTCGCTTCCGCAAGGGTGGTACCGCTTCATGATTGAAAACAGGCCTGCAGAAATGCCAACCAGGTGTATAGAAGTAAGTAAGAGGAAATAAAATGAAATGTGTGCTCTCAATAAGCCTTTCATAAGCCCAGGTTCTCCTCCCAGGTTCCCCACAAACCCTACCAGAATTCCCATCAATTCCCAGAATTCTTACTCCTCTCCCATGATGTCTAGGATTTCTGGGGTTGCAGACCCAAACCACTATAGGCATCAAGTTGGAGAAGACTTCTTCTGAGTACTTTGAGTGACACCAACTTGCCTCAGGTATATTCTTCTGCTATCTTAATTAGTGGGTATGGTTCATTAAGAGGGAACAATATATGATTAGAAGCACAAAGGATATTTCTCATCCAAGGAACAACAAGATAGACTTATAGAGATCTAATCAAATGTATATCTTTTATATGCAAATGAATTCACCTCATGCTGTCTGTAGCGCAAAAATTCATCTCATACTCTGAAAATATTATTTACAGTTCAACACTTCTGCTGTATTATAGCTCAAACCCATTGGTGACATGTTTTGAGTCATATGAAATATGTTGTTGGATTACGTGGTAAGTGTGAAGCAATTCAAGAACTTATTTTTTAGTATTTATTTATTTATTTATTTATTTATTTATTTATTTTTCAGGAAGTTTTTAAATAATGCATTATCTGCTCCTGGGAAAGGAGGTATTTTAAATTATATTGGGTGTTGCTTGACAGAAAATCTTCCGCAGCTCTGATCAGTGACTTAAAGGTTATAGCACTTTTGAGGTTTTACACCTTTGATGGATAGCTTCTTGATTCAAAATAAATAATATATTACTTTGCTTCTTTTATAGATAAATTTGTAATTCAGAAGAAATAATAACTTTCTAATTCAAAGAAACACCTCACCTAAAAACTTTCTTCATTTAAATCACAAAATAAAATGGGATTCAAACTGATATAAAGAAGTTTTGATTCAAAACTGTACTACAAAAAATGAAATAATAAGGCTTATTTAAAAAAACAGTTTTTAATTAAAAACCATATCCATAAAATATATTTTTGTTCAGTTTTTACATTCTTAATGCCTTATTTTGTGATAAATTTAAAATTTGTGAGTTCAACAAACTGAACTAAATTCTACACAAATTTATATAATTTAAATGTATATCATATTTATTTGTTTGTTTATCTATTAAATTTATAGAGCCACCCATCTCACAGCAGTGACTCTGGGCAGTGTATAAATATTAAAATCATCATAACAATATAAACTCATGACATCCCAATTAAAACCAAACAATTAAAAAAAAAAATCAAAGTCTCATCACCACAGAGCTTACCTAACTTCCTGGCCTAAAAAAAGTATGAGGAACAAATATTCCTTTACATGAGCTCAGGAAAAATTCTGGAAAAATAGGATGATTTGCTGTGAGCATTTGAAATGTCACTCTGTGTTTGTTTTATACGCGCGCACGCGCACACACACATGAATTTTATTAAAAGTTTATAGGATGATTTGCTGTGAGCATTTGAAATGTCACTCTGTGTTTGTTTTATACGCGCGCACGCGCACACACACATGAATTTTATTAAAAGTTTATAGGATGATTTGCTGTGAGCATTTGAAATGTCACTCTGTGTTTGTTTTATACGCGCGCACGTGCACACACACATGAATTTTATTAAAAGTTTCAAAAAGAAGATAAAAACCAACAAAAACTAATATAAAGTAAACAGAGCAAAAAGGAAAAGAGAAAATCAAAAGAAAGACAAAAGTATAAAAAGAATA